TTATTTAAGGAGTCGCGATTGGCAACTGTACTCACATCTACACTTTGAAATAGTATGCGCATCATAAGTGGTTAATTATTTTGTTATAATATTTTATTCATGAAGGTTTTTAGAAAAATAACCCCTGGTCATACAAGTTGACAATTAGATATAACCCACTTTAAAATATAAGAATAATATGTAAAGACATGAAAATTTTCTGTTTTCAAAACACAAACATCGACTGATAAAGTGAGCGCTTTGTGAGTAATAAAACCAAACCCAAGACAATCGTTTTTCCTAACAACCCGTTTTCTCACGTTCGTAATTTTCAGTTTCCAATGTCTGCTGTATCTCGCCACACAAATAGCATCAGGAATGCGTTACTTGGAATCGTTGAACTTCGTCCACCGTGATTTGGCTACCAGGTAAACACAATGTGATTTTTACGTCAGCGCTTATCATTATAATATTTACAACGACGTACAACTGCATGTTATGTCGCTCCCTCGTCGACCGTTATATTTAATTTTCAAACGTGTTTCAGGAATTGTTTGGTGGGAAAAGCGTACAAGGTAAAAATCAGCGATTTCGGCACCGACAACGAAGCGTATTCGGCTGACTACTACAAACTGGACGGCAACCTCGGGCTTCCCATCCGATGGATGTCGTGGGAATCGGCATTCTTGGTGAGTTTAGCCGTTTTCTTGGAATCTATTAGAACATAGTATTATTGTAATAATAGTATGGTATGAACGGTTTATGATATAAATTATATAATAATAAATTAATGGTTTTTAATAGGAATTTTTAATAAAAATTTAAAATAATTTCTTTCAAATTATACTTTACCTAGAAACCCACATCGCGTCAACTTATTCCGAGAAAAATAACCCTCACAAAATATTCTAAATTGAAAAGTCCCTCTTATATAATAGTATTTCTATGAAAAATAATTCTACAAAATAAAATTATATTATACTCTTTGAAAATTACAGTTTCTTAAAATGTAACTGATACCTGAAAATAGAATTCATTGTTGTTAAAAGAAATTATCTACACGTTACAGTGAAATATGTACGTAATGGCCAGTATTACTCCATGAGCGAGTGCACTAGTCAAAAGTTTCAAGACCAATGGTTTCATGTAATATTAAATATTTAAATATAGGTATTGCATTTTAACGAAAATTTAATATAAAATTATAAAATATTATAAAAAAATATTGATTAAGCATTTTGGGGAAATGGGATTGGGGGGAGGGGGCTAGCCTCCATCAAAAATGTCGCCACTGCACTTCACCCAACAGTACTATTATTGTGATGTTATCATATTATATTAAGTGATATCGTTTACAAAACACAACTGAAATTCATGGCAATATTGTAATAACTTCGTTGTGTTTCGATTTCCACAGGACAAGTACTCGACGAAGAGCGACGTATGGTCGTTTGCCGTGACCCTCTGGGAGATCCTGCACCTGGCAAAGTCGCGGCCGTTCGAAGGGTTCCCCGACCACAGGGTAGTGGAGAACCTGTCGCACATGCACGTGGACGACGGCCTGTTCGAGTACCCGGCCCGACCCGCGTGCAGCCGGGACATCTACGACCTGATGCGCGAGTGCTGGAAGCGACAGGAGTCGGACCGACCCACATTCCGGGAAATCCATCTGTTCCTGCAGCGCAAGAACCTCGGCTACGCACCCGCCGCAGCTGGGTCGTCATGACGGTCCGGCGGTGGCAACGGCAGTCGGCGCGGTGAGCCCCGCGAAGGATGGCCGTTCGTGCTCAGGCAAAATGCGTCCTATCTGTCCGGGTCCGATGCGGACTGAAGTGCGCCGAAAACCCCGACGGGACCCACACCACGACTTTGGCGATAGGGTGGGCGACCGGTGGGTCGGAACCGACAACTCTCGCACCGCGTCTGATATCATGATAATTTACTGCTTCGACAATCTCTTTGGCGCGCGGGTTCTACGTTATTATAATAATTAATGGCTCGCGGAGCCGTCACCGCACGTAGAAAGTGCGTCGTTTGTTTATTAATTGTTTGTTTTATCTTTTCTTTCTCTGTTTCATAACCGACTACAATAATATTATGATATCGTGTTATATCGACTACTATCTCCTATATGATGCCATATTATACCTGTGTGCAAGTAATCCACCGAACCAAACTAATTAGTACTGTCCGTTCTTGGTCATTAACGGGCACGTACCTAGTTCGTGAGGTGTCTACTATGTTATCGTGTACATACAGATAAATATTAAAATTATATTATAAATGTATTGTAAATTGTAAAAGCTATATTATATAAATAGACTGATAGAAAAATAGGCAATAACGAATCGCGTCCGGCGTAGTCTTTTATCCGTGTCAATCTGTATTACAGATGATATTATTATGTGTACCACAATACACAATGAATACGGACTTGCGCGGTCGTAATTCGTTTAATAACTGTTGCTTGTTATTTTAGATTCTTCTCGTTGTGATTTGAGTCTCTGTTGTACATTTAACGTTTTATGTAAAACACTGATAATCGAATGAATTAACATATCTGCTATTTCCGGTTTAATCACTTATATTATCATGGCGATTCTAGTGGAAATGTAGTTTGCCAGCTGCCTACCTATACATTGTAATAATAGGCAAATAGTCGAGCGATTGATTTTGTCCCTCACCCCTCACAGCTCCTCCCACCAATCGCTCGATGCTCGATGTTATCCTCAAATGTTTGAGAAACGACAACCGTCGAAAAATATTCAATTGCAATAATGTACCTTTGTTGTTAAGAAATTTTAATCATTACATTATACTGTACATATAGAATCATTATAAATATTAATAATAACTAGTCAAGCCTTTTTGTATTTTATTTTTATTTTTTACTTGAGACGAATATGTACATAAATAATTTGTTCGGCTAATGTACAATATTTTACACCTGTTTAAATCATATTCAACCTGTATTATAATATTTTTTTTCTATAGATTGTGATATTTAAGTTACTTTCAAAATGTGACACTTTTATATAGTACACTCTAGATATTATATTATTATTATATTTATATGTAATATGTTTATTGTTAAGTTCATTAACTTACTTGTTTTTGAATATTGTATATATTATTTAATTTTGATTTATTTATGAAAATGTACACAACATATTTTATATTTCGACATATCATTTATTTTGTTTTTTTCAAAAAGAAACCACCGCTTGACCCGCATCTGTTTCGTGTCAAAACCTATTCCCATCGCAATAACAATATATTATATATCTGTGTGTGTATATAATATATACTATAATACTGTCTAGTTAAATTGTTTTTATATTAAAATTATTAATTGGCCTCTGGTGTCGTAAATGATATAATATACAAATAGCAATACATTGAACATTTTGTTATAAACTAACAATATAGAGATATTATTATATCACCTTAATCGGAATTATATTTTATTGGGTACTATAAATGGCTATAATATAACATATTAACTATTAAGCGCTAAAGGTGTAAAAATAACATAATTTAAGCCAAAATCAGTAAGACTTATTAAAATCTCCAACATAAAACTACCCAATATATATAAAAAACGTCAAAGATATAAAAATATAATATAATTTATGCCAATATTAATAAAATTATAGTTGATTTTTAATTAAATTTGATATATTTCAGAATATTTTAAACCGTCAATACCGTCAATAATCAATATTAGGTAAAAATATTATTATGGTGATAAATTAATAGGTACGTAGCTAATATAAATATAAATAAATTAACAGAATAATATTTTCAATTATATAAACTATCTATTTAAACAAGTTGAATGTTTGATCTTACATTTTTCAGATATTCTATTCTACTTATTGCTTCCATATAGTAAATGTATCGGTTAGGCCCTCATCAGGTGTAATTAATTACGAATTTTAGTGTGACATAAATTACATTAATAATATGAACTGATTAATGACCAATGAGCAACAGAAAATTGGTCTTTAAAATATCGATGATATCTTGTAGTTTGTATAATATCTTTATCCGAAATTGCAGCTCAAATTTCTGAAGGATATGTACTAGATCAATGTATATTGTATATACCTCCAAACGGCAACCACTGACCAATTCTCTTACATATCTATATTTTTGTTCATTAAATAAAATGAATTTATTTGTAATATTAATTGTCTGTATAGCGTACGCAAAATTCGAATGCATACCAAGTACATACCAACAATATAATATTACAACTTATAAGTTATAACACAAAAACATCGCATCAGATAATCAATTTTTCAGGTATCTCAGATTTTGTCTCTTTTGTACGATAAGATTTATTTTTTGCCTATCTCGTATTAGCGTTTATGTTTTCACCGTTATAAATTGTCATTTTGTAAAAAAATCAAAATATTATCGACAAAGAACATTTTTTTTTCAGTATTTCAGTATATTAATTAGCGATAATAGTTTTACAATTGAGCTTAACTCTATGGCCAATATATAAGTATATAAAATAGACTAAAATAATTACAAGCCCGAACATTATACACAGTATTATGTTATATTAATGAAAAATAATAGTAATTAATAATTATATAAGTTATAACAATGTAGAATAATTTATATTTATCACAACCACGATAAGTAAAGTTACATCGAAGCAACCAAGATCAACAAGACACAGATTAGGATGCATTGTTCACAAACTCATCCAGGGAATAACTTAAAATATTTTAACATGTGCTTGAAAAGTTACAAATTGTTAAAATCCAAAATTATTCACAATAAAAATGTCTCGAGTAGAAGCATACAACAAGTATTGTATAATTAAATAATCAAACATTTGAACAGCGATGACTAATAATTACTAATTAGAACATATAAATTGTTACATTTACTTTTTGTTTTGTTGTTGTAATTAATGAATTAATGAATTATTGTTTTATAATTAGGAAAACCAATTTTTAAAATATTTATATATAATTGTATTATTACTACAATACAACTTTAAGATTTTTTCTTAAATTTGATATAAACTTACTGTTTGTTTTAAATGAAGTTATAGAAAACCATGTTTGACATATGTAATAATGTATTTTAACGGAATGTTTCATGATACTATAAAGAGTATATTGGTAATTAGTTCATATTTACGATACAAAGACTAAATTGAATTACTCATTATCTTTATGAAACTGTAATTATAATATATATACAGGTAATTATCGTACTCGTTGCAATAGATTTAAATTTAAATTAGCGTATCAACTTCTAATAATAATAATAATAATAATAATAATAATAATAATAGTAATAATACAAATAATAATAATAATAACACTGTATGCAAATACGAAAGAAGTCTTACAGCAATGATAATAAAAAAAATATTATGTAGGTAATTTACAAAAATACGCTCGAGCCGTCGCTGTCGAAGGCGCTAATCATTAAACATAATTCTTTATACTTTTTAAAAAAAAACTACAATGTTACGTACACATATCGCATTAAATCAGCGACAAAAATTGACAATAATAACTGCAAGATATCGGTTTATGTAAGAAAACGCATCAATCGTCATCCGACCTCTGCCGAATGTGCAGGATGAGCGGCACCGTCCTGGTCTTGATCACCGGAAGCGGCTGCTTGCCCTGGTAATACTGTTGGTGGTGTCCGGCCACCGGCGTCCGGTACACGTACCTCCACGTCTGCGTCTGTCCGACTGGCGGCGGTCGCATCACCAGCAGGTTCTTCAGGTCCTGGCGGCTGGACAGCTTGCGCCCGTGCTTGCCCCTGTTCGGCTTGGTCCCGGGGTTCCTGTGCTTCAGCTGCTGTGGCTGGTAGTGGTTGTGGTGCGCAGACGGTTTGATCGCCGACGACGACACGCTCGTCACGTGGTTCTTGTTGCTGTAGTCCTTGGAAAGGTCGTCGGTCTCATGTACCTGTAACGAAAAACGCCGTTGAAATAATTCAGTGTAAGCTAAAGGTAGTCGCAAAATACCGAAGACAGTTTTTTTGTGGCCGACTAGTTTTTTTTTCAAAATCTCGAGATGAATTCAAATTATGGTTTTTAGATGTTTTATCAATTCATTCAATTCACTAAAGACACTGTGAATGGTAACCAAAATGACGTGTAGTGAGATATGGTAAAGAGAAAACATGCGCCGTTACCAGGATAGTATAGGCAATATATGTGACGTTCCGGAGCACCAAAATCGGTAACAATCTACAGTGAGGTTTAGCCCATGGCCCAAGTGTCGGAGGTTATTTAAAAACAATTTACACAGTGTATCAGTAACATCTTTGGCAACGTTTTAAGGTTTTTTAACGTCATTTCAAATGTTTTGAACAATGAACATACTGTATATTATGGCCGTGTCTACTTTTTGAATTCAGCTACTACTAATACTTGTACTATGTCAAAAACTAACTAAAATAAATCTGCCGATTTTTTTGCACACACAACAATACCTAACCTAACCATTGATTAAATATATATTAATTTATATTTAATCAATGACAATACCTATAGGTTAGATCTTTCGGTCCACTTATACATAAAATAACAATCGATATAAATGCGTTACCCTAAAGAACCCCGTGCCTATTCCCTCACCATAATAATATTGCAACGGGCATTCAAAAACGCAACACGTGTCGAAAAATACGTCAGCGTTTATTTCAATTTAAACGACCAATTATTGAGACAATTTTTATTTTGTAGAAACCAGTAAATTTGATTGCGATTGTCCGCGTAATTTTGCCATTACCTTTAGATTTTTGAGCAATACATTAATACTTCTTATTGAAAATCGCAAAGCGAAATTGGATTGTAAAATATATAATTGAACAAGAATTAATCATCCTAGTTACATCATTTTAACCTTATACAAGCACCAAAATGTTTTTATAACGATTCTACCATATTGTGCCCTATATTTACCAAAGTAAGTTGATATAATGTAATAAAAGAAATAATTTTATTAAAAGTGTTGTTAAAATCGTAATATTTAATCATAATGGTCTCAGATTGATGACAAATCTTTCGAAACACAGAAACCTATAATATTATAGAACTGTTGAAGTATTTAAAAATAATCTATTGTGTAAATAATATTGTGCTTCATAATATTCGTTAAAAATTTAAAATGCCTAATAATATTTTACATCAAACTTTATTGCGAACTCAACTAGTAGTACATTATATAGATATTTAGATATTATAATGCTGATCGGGTAATCTAGTAAAATCGATACTATCAAAATAACTGAGGAAAAGCGAAATACTATGAGTACATCACAGGCTCATTCAAGATATAGTGATATTTCAAAGGTAGTGTTTTAACTGTTTAGTGTAGGGTCGACACTCAAAGTTATGAATTGAATTACACTATAATACAGTCTGTGTTTGCAAAGGCCAATCGATCTATGGATGGATCCATAAATCTATGGAGGCAATGTTCAGACTAGGTAGGATTGGATCAAGGACTAAGGAGTATCATATTAGGTATTCATATTTAATTCATTGGAAACAAACATGACGGTCACGCACCTGGTACTGATGTGGTTCTTCGGGTACTGAGTTAGGAGGGGCCTCGTAGTCGTGATTGTGGTTATTGTCGATCCCATTGCCATAATGGTCGTGCAAGTCCTGGTGCAGGTGTTGAACAGCGTCATCGGATATCGTATAATACGACGTCTCTCCCGAGTGTCCGTTAAAGTTACCTTGATCGTGGTCACCGGCCTGACCTGAAGTGGCCGACGCGGGATTTTCACCAGTACCGCCAGAATTAGAAGTGCCAGACTGGCCAGACCCCCCAGTAGCAGCCACATCACCGACATGAAACTCCGACGACGTATCCACCGAGTTCTGGACAGGCGACGATAGTGATGACCCGTCCTCAATGGTCGCATGATAGTTTTTGGCCTCGGAGAAACCAGCTGAATGCATGATCGGTACGTAAATGTGTGGTATCAGGTGCAAGTGGATCATATGGTTGTGCTTCTTGGCGAGTCCAGCACCAGCACCACCAGCACTACCAGCACTGCTACCACTGACACCTGTCCCATAACCACCGCCATTGTAGCTAATGCCGCCACCACTAAACCCGCCACCGGTGTCTGGTCCAGAGGATAGATGTTCCGGGGATGGTGTCGGCGGCAACCGCAAATGGTTGTCCACGTGGTCCCCTACCATATTTCGGTAGTGGGTGTCTACTTCTTCGTGGAACGATTCATGTTCAGGGAACTCGGTCTTGAGGATTTGCGATGGTTTGAACAGCGGTCTCCACGGACCTATGGAACAAAAAAAACCACATTTGTAAAACTGCAATTTGGCGAAATTAAAACTTTGAAATCAATTTTGGATGTTTAGAAGATGTTACTATAATTTATAATATCATACTAATCGAAATTGTCTGGTTATTTGTTTAAATACTATATTATGATTTATGTTAACCTCAGGACAATCATTCTCAAACGAGGTGACTATCAGAAATATCGGAATTAGTACAAGAGTTATTTTAAAATACATAATCTATACTGTAATATAATTGATTTTAATTGTCAATAAAGTTAAATATGATTAATCATAGTAGTCGTCCAGGTATACAACGCTACTCGTTTAATAGTATAATAATAAATAATAGAACCGAGCTAGTCATAATATTTAATAAAACTAAATATTTATCTACTGTAATATCTATAGACACATGTCAGGTCCTTCACTCTTTCAATATGAACAACTGGTAATAGTGGTAACTAATTGTACGTGCGTATAAACCTCAGTAAAACAATATGTTTAATTATAAATAGCCGCAATTAGAAATATAATATTAGGTACTTTAGTCGTTATATAATAACGAAATATAGAAGTAATATTATTTAAGGAAAAATAAAATATATAAATATTAAAAGTGTAATATTTTCGATAGTAATATGTTTGATAGCTAAACCTTAATACAATTAAAACAATTAATTTTAGAACTACATTAACTACCTTTAGTCTTGCAAAGAGATCAAGCCAAGTCTACGGATTCCTACACTACACCCTGCCATTGAGACCGGTTCTAATATAGACATTAGACAAGCTTGAGGATGCGCAGAATAACCGATTTTCGTCTACCAGTTGAGTGTCTTCTCTCTGGATAGAATATAATGTATATTTTTGTATGGTGTGAAAATCGAAAAAATAAAACTTCATCGGTTTAAATGTATGGTAGCTGAAGAAGCCGACCGCAATGACATTAAATCATAAGAAAGTTAAAGTACATGAATTTCAACCATATTTTACGTAGAAAAATCTATGTTTTTTATAGGCAGCGGTGCAAATGACATGATTTCAAGACTTTGAGACTACCACGAATCGAAACAAACACGTAACTCAATATCAAGCACACGATTTTCGCTATAAATTGCAGTCGAACGAATCGCCAAACGATCTGCTGTACGTGTTAGCAAAAAAAAAAAAACAACACCAACAGTATATTATTGTATCATTATCTATATAAAATATCACGCAACGATAATATTATATATAATTAGATATTATTAAATAAAAAGAAAATTGTTCAGAAACGAGTATAAAATAAAAAATCATCAGTCACAAAACAAGAGATTGTAAACTAAACCTATAAAAACTATAAAATATTATATCATATTTTGGATATTAACGGCACTTTGAATTCAAGGCCATTAGATGGAACAATAAATATTATTATTATTATTATAATTGTTATAGAGTAAAAGATGTTTGAAATATATTTTAATGTTTAATAGTTTAATAAGTCACGGTAATGATGTGTTAAATTTGAATTAAATGATAAATCATAGCATACGAAATACGATTTTGACTGAAGACCGTCAATATGACTAAAGTTTATTCATATTTCTACAGTAGTAATTTATTTAACTATTAGAGTAGTGTGGTATGTTGAAATAATTTTAATAAAAAATAATAATTTTAAAATATGGCATTTATTTTATCATTTATATATAATTATAATAAAAGTATTTATCTATTAAATATTATTCTTATTAACTTTTGAGTCAATGCCGAAAACCGTAAAACGGTGTGATAGGTTCATGGTATAAATATGCAATACCATAAGATAAATCTAAATACTTTGAAAATGTAGCTGTTTATAAAATGTATTAATATACGTAAAAGTTTTAAATCACCACGAACAATATTTTAAAATAACAGCAATTAAACTTTAAATACCAATATAATTTCGTCCAAAATTATAGTAACTTTTTATTAATTCTACTAATAACAACTTGTGAAGAACGTTGTAAATATAAATTAATAAAAAAATATGAAAAAATGAAAATTTTCTAATGTCTATAAAAGTATAAATAGGACAAAAAGATTCAAAATACTTAAAAAAATTTCCATGTATATAAAATTCTAATTCAATTATTCGGTGAAAATTTCAAGTATCTACGGTTACCCATTTTGTCTGTAGTCCATGACAAAATATCAAAACAAATTTTGACCAAAACTACCATTTTTCCGTAATTTATTTTGTTTTTCCAATTATTAAGTAAGTACTTTTCAATTTTAATCTTCCAAAAGTATCAACAAGTTTAAGTTTGCTACCAGAAAAAAATATTGAATTGGTAAATCAAAGTTGTTGAATGGCGAACTGTTTAAGGTTTAATAATTATTAGAAAACTATAATTTATTTTCTTCAATTCCATTCCATGAACTCAATTTATTATCTTAGGAACAGCCAAACAAAACATTTAAAGTGCTTACTTTATACTTTATTTGGGGAAAGATGCACATCTGATTATAATAAATTTAAATAAAAATATTTTTTTGTTCAATTCCTCTTCATTTTATTTATTTCTTTACAAACGTAAAAATGTCTTCAATCTAAATGTGAAGTTGCAGGGTTTTCAAAAAGGTACTATATGAAGTAATAGTGAATACATTACAATATTACACATTATGAACAAACTCTGGAAGAAGCATTGTATTATACTTAATACGTATTACTTATTTATCAGTCAATTCGTAGTAAGTTTATAAGCAGCATAAAAAATAATTTTGGATGATAAACATCTAATTATGTGGTAAAATGTTTTAAAGTATAATTTTAATTTTATCTTCTCAGCCACAAAAAAAATATAACACTATGCTGAAAAAATATTAACAAAATAAAAATTCAAAAAACTGTGTATTCAAAAATTTGGTTTTCCATAGAATAGTAAAGTTAATTAATTACCTAACCTATGCAATATGATGTTTTCTTTTCGAAGACAAATGGAATTACTCGAACTTTATCTGAAGATAAAAAATTCTAATTTTAACTTGGCTCAAATATTGATAGGGTTTAGATGAAATAGCAAAGTACCTTTGTAGCTCAATATATAGTTAAAGAAATCAAAAATCAGGCAACTCGATTGGAAACAATATATTATATTAATAAATAAACCGTGTCCGTGACATTGACGTTATTATACGGACGCGTGCGTGTGACGTAGTATTTTTAATATTATTTCCTACCCGTAAACAGCAGACGTACAAACGGATATTTACATGTGAGTGTGATTTGAAACCGTTTACGAAAGGTCGTCCATTAATATTTACGTATTTTGTCGTCGGAGCTTTCGCCAAACGTGCTAGGTAGTATATTCATAGGCACCTAACCTATGTCGAGTATGTCCTATAAACGTTGTGGTCTAGACCTGCGAAAGCAGAACACTGCACGCACACCGTACACACCCGTGACACGTAAATAATATTATACGCTCGTATGAGTGGGCGAGTGGGTGGGTGGGTAGTGTGGAGAGGTTGACGACGGTCATGATGCGACCACGACCGCGGTAACGCGATATTGCTCGATCGGTGTTTTTGACCGTGTATATCCTCGACTATAAATAATAATAGTAATAAGTAATAACAGTAATAATATTATATGGGTACACAGACGACTGGCTGCCAGCTCGCGGTTTATTACGCGTACGTGTAGTTTGCGGTCGCGTTAAATTACTATACCTATAAGGACCTATCTGTATATACCACACGTATTTTAATATGTATAATATATACATGTATTTTATAGCTATACATGGGGTACACTAACCACCGCAACCGCTGTTTGTTTTTTCACCAAGTCGTCGGATGCGTATTGTTTACTGCGGCGACACGCTTGCGGTATTTATGTGTTATCATTCATAAGTCATAAGAATAAAACATATTTATATATATATAAACCCAGTGACAGGCCGCCGCGAGTCAGTTACGAGTTGCGACTTTACAAGGTATACCTAGATTCTACTCGTTCTCGTATGTCAACGGTTTTAGTATACTACTTTAAGTGCTAAAATATATAATAGTATATATAAAGTTCCGTGTGTCGTCCGCAATAATAGTTCCTTTCAAAAACCTGACTAGAAAAATGGTTTCTAGCACAGCATCATACACACGCATGTAAGTATGTTTTACGAATGAGAACTTACGGCCCGCCCCCAAAAAAAAAAACGATTAAATTGAACATAATATGTTTTATCTACATTGAAGTTGGCTGTATTAGTATAACGACAAGGATGACGTTGCTGTAGGTATCACGCAATGTCGCGATTGCTATTTTTTTTTTTTTTTTTAATGAAAATAGAATTGAAATTTTAATAAAGATGAAAACTTCTTCAATTTTAAATTAATTATAAATGTTGTTGAACCTACCAATATACCTACCTGCCTAAACAAACCGTGTACACTGTTCAAAATGTTTCACCATTCTTGTTCTTTTGAAAAACTATTTTTTCATTAGGGTAGGTTGGACTATGAAATATGATTTCGGAAAATTACTACTGTATTTGAAAATTCTTTACAGTTCTTATAGTTCATATTATTTTTTGGTTCACTTTAATTCAGAATATTTGAGGTAAGTGTAGCCAATTTATAGAGCTAATTCGTGTAAATATTAAACAATTTGAAGTGCCTAATAATGTCAGTTAATTATTATATGAATTAGGTTAATTTAAAACTTGGAAAGTGAAGCTGGTATAGACAAATATGTACCTTCCAATATATAATTTAATAGAAGGTGAGTACGAAGACAAACCTGTACATATGACATAATATATACAATATAATTATATTATCAAATCAAACCAAATGAGCGACAAACAAGTAAAAAACTAACACAATATTAACAAAAATTATAATTAAGAAAAAAATTGATTCCACAAAACTATAGTAAGACTTGCTCGGATAATTTAAATTTCGTATAAAGTTATATACTTATACATAAACTCATATATAGAGAAAATTATATGATAATATA